TCAAGATTAACAGAAACTTAAAGCTTTCATCTGAATCACAAATAGTGTGAAGCTTCTAAGGCAACATAATCTAAAACACCATTGAACAAACAAAATTTATCAGAATGTCAATTTCAAATAAGATTTGTAGGCAACAATAATAAAAATTATTAGTAAAAAGAACTCATATAAGGTGTGACATTTCAACAAACACCTTGTATACGGCTAGATATAATGAAAGTTAACATAAATAAATTTATTGTGGCATTTCAACAAACACCTTGTATACAAAACTCAAGCCAATATCAAAAGAGTAGTTCTCATCAACGGTATCAACAAAAACAAGTCAATAACTCAGAAAAGAAGTAACACTAACATCATATAATCCAGAAAAATGAAATACTAAGACAATAATTCAGAAAAATGCAAAATGAAAAACTTCAAATACTGTAACAATGGCGGAAATGCGCTACAGAGGCTGTCGAAAACGGACGGTCAAATGAAGGAGATATGTAACACAGGCTGAACGGAGGTGGGCGACGGAGGCACGACAGTTGAACGGAGGAGGGCGACGGTCGGTCGTGGTGAATAGGGTTCTAGTTCGCAGAGAGGAGAAAGAAAGAATGAAGAACGTACGCGCACGAGCTAGCAATGTGTTATGTTTCTATAAAAAATTATGTGATATTTTAATTTAATTATAATAACACCTATGGCAGCGCTTCTCAAAGTGCTTTCTTTAAAAAACCATATAGCAGCACTTTACAAGGAAAACAGTTTCTTTAAAATTCTGTGATATTTTATTTTAATAATAATAACACATATGGCAGCGCTTTTTTAATACCTACAGCAGCGCTTCAAAAGCGCTGTCTTAGCTCATGGATATAACAGCGCTTTAGAAGGAAAGCGTTTTCTTTGGCACACCCTACAACAGTGCTTTAGAAAAGCGCTTTCTTAGGACCAATCTACAGCAACGCATTAACAAAGCGTTGTCTTAGCCCATGCCTTTAGCAGCCCTTTAGCAGCGCTTTTCCTAAAAGCGCTGTCTTAGGTATGCTGTTTTTTTCCTTTTTTTTTATTACTCTTTAGCTGCGCTTTTCCTAAAAGCGCTGTCTTTGTATGCGCTGCTAAAAGTCAATTATGGCATAGTGAGGATTTTCATTTTTTCTGTCATGTTGACTTGTGCATTGTTCACTTTTTGCTTTGGACCCTTTAGTAGCGCCTTTATGAATTTAGTATATTTAGGCATAAGTTCTAAAACCTCATGGAAAGAGATACTTACCTGCAGTGTCTTGAGCATCTCTTTAAACTTGGTAAATATTCCTGCCTCATCTTCATGAAGGGGTTTCTTCTTTATTATTGGATATGGTGCCTTAATGTAATTAGGTAGTAGGGGGTTTGGATCATTAAAGATTTTCGTTTTTGTTCTTCTCCATAGAGAGATTTTGTCTATTAACTGATCAATGGTGACTCCTCTCTCATATTGGTCATTGTGAAAATTAATTTCCTGTCTTTCCTTCCTAAATTCACCCTTTTCCATTATATCACCATCAACTATTTTATCCCTACTTTTATTAGCAGTTACTTCAAAACATGTGCCCATAGCCTTGCAAGATTCATTCTTTGGATTATATACCGTATTACTTGAGAATCCTTCACTTGAGCTTGGTAAAACAACTATCTACCTAGACAACTGACCAATTTGCGTCTCCAAAATTTTGATGGATACATCATGGTTTCTACCAATGGTCTCATGATTCTTATTAACATGATCCAAACTATTATGAGTGGCTTTGATGAATTTTGTAAGGTTTCTTCCAATTCTGAAGGTTTCCTTTGAAAATTGGAAGCTTGTTGATTTTGTTGCATAGCTTGGTTACCACTTTGGTTTTGGTTATTGCTTTTATAAAAAATTTAGATGATTCTTCCATCTCGTATTGTAGTTGTTAGAATATGGGTTTTTATTTTGAAAATTTTCAAAAATGGGCCTCTTCACTCGATCCTTCCAAAGAGCACCTTCTGTTTTCATGTCCTCTTCCATGAAAGTCACACCTAAGTGCTTGTACCTGGCTAACGTTAACTTAGTTTAAGTTTCTTTTAGCTAGCTGCTTATTTAACAATTCAATTTCAGCTAACAATGCAGTTTGAGTATCAACAATTAACATACCTTTTGTGTGTCCTTACCGTCTCAACTTTAACTGACCTCTCGCTCTTAATTTGGTACTCATTCAAGCACATCTTCTCAACTAGATCCTTGACTTATGGTTTGGTCATTTGTCTGATTGTGCCTCCCGCGAAAGCATCTAGCAACACACATGTCTGAATCTTGGGACTTTAATAAAACTTTGCATCTACTCCATGTTATTCAAATTATGTTTGGGGCACCTGCGTAACAGTAATTTGAACCTCTCCCATGAATCATACAATGACTCCATATCTTGTTTCTCAAAGTTTATAATTTCATCCCCCTTTCAGTAAACTAGTTGGTGGTGAAAATCTTCCTAGGAACTTATCCTCTAGCTCTTTCCATGTCTGAATGGTTCCATTTAGAAGACATAATAACCAATATTTTGCCATTCCAACGAGTGAGAAACCACACAATCATAACTTCACTTGGTCTTCCATGACATCATCTAGTTTGCACATTGAAGCGGTTTCGTAAAAGTGTGTAAGATAAGCCCACAAGTCTCTGATAGCGTTCCCATCAAATGAATTGTCTCTTAGGCTTGAAAGCACACAATTCTTAATATCAAAATTAGAATGGTCTGCCGGTATAAACCCTCTAGAAACCTGTCAGTCGAAGGTCCTTTTACAATAATCACCCATAGTTTGGAGTGATGGTGCTGCCATGTTATCCTTCTCTTCAGCGTTCGAAGAAAGCAGTGATGGATCTACTTCTGTTGTTCTTCTTTAGTTAGAATTACTCATCTAGCTGCTTTTCTGAGAGCACATGCGGTCGTTTCAATTTCTAGATCAAATGGTAGTAATCCTGAACATCGCGTGGTTATTCCAGTAGCTGCACCAAAAAACATCCATTTTCACCTGAATTTTCACTAAGTCTCATTCCTCCATACTTAACTATTTTCACTCATTCTTAGCTATTTCTTCTTCCTGTTGGATTCTCTTTTGCTTGTTTTTCTTTGATTCTTCGCCTAATTACATGCAATGACAGACTGTCATCAACCACCTCGGTAAGAGGGCTAATCAGATAGTACCGTTCCTTGAATTTCTTCACAATCTCTGAATAAACTTCAAACATTTTGGTAACATGCCTAAGGGAAATTAAACTATGATTTCGAACTGAATCAACATAATTCTGTTGGGCTTTAAATATGTGGAATAAGAGTGCCAAAGATGACTCACATTTCTTATATTCACACCAATATTGGAATACTTTGATATTAACTCAACGCACTTGGCACAATTATGAAAAGGCAATCACTAGATGGTTTAAAACGTCCACTTCAAAGTCGTTGAAAGGAAGACGAAAACCTATTAAAGAAAACATACATTCGTGAAGAGGAATGATGCACCCATCATGCTTGTTACAAATCCTCTTATCCTTTTCGAGAAAAAACATTCTCCAATTTGAGGAAGGACCCACTTTAGTGTAGGCATGTTCTAGGCCACTTTCACCAATGAAGGAAAAAACAATGTTCACTGTCTCTTGATCCACCCATACAACAAAGTAGTTATCTACTATTGCTTTATGAGTTTTGGTTGAGAGTTGTTCATGTAAAAAAAGGATGTCAACGCATAAAAGAAACAATTATAAGAAAAACACAAGGTCAACATAAAGGCAAACTTTGCGCTCCACCATAAGTTGTCTATAGAAAAAAATTCAGCGAAACACAAATAAAAGAGAACTAAAATCCATAGCCTCCCCTATAAAAACCCTAATAAAAAATAAAAGAAAGTTCAGACTCAGACAATTCCTTGAGAATATGAACTCAATGAGAGAAGAATGCAGAAAACTACAAAGATGAGAAAAAAGCTTTCAAAAAGTCACAAATGACGAAAAGAAGAGCATGAAACCCTAAAAACTCCTTGTATATTCCCTAAGGAAGGTGAATCGTGCGATCCTTGACAATGGGAACTGCGAATCGCGTCACTAATGGTCGAGATTCCATCTCACACTATTTAAGAGCACTCAAAAGCCCTAGTATTAGAAATAATCATTACCATCAGGCATACAGACACTTGTTGAGATGTACTTGCGAAACATTTCTAATTACAAGAAAAAAAATTTAATGCGCCTTTTCTTAACGACATCAATGTCCCACTAAGACTCTTTTGCTCATTTCCACCAAAAACTAGAACCAAAGACGAATTCGGTAAAGTCCTTGCTCTATGGCGTAGATGCAATGGTTTAGGGAAAATTGTTTAAGACCGTGGGCAAGACCCACAAAGAAGCCCCTAATAATAAGCGTTGAATAGGAAGACATGCTTAAAAGGTGAACTATCAACGATCATATATCTCATTGTTGATATTTAATCAATGACTATCCACATAAGGCACCAAGTCACACACTGACAATTTTAACCATCTATATTATATAAAATACCATATCACACCATTTTAGATATTCAATTCATTCTCACTCCCATACTATTTTTCACTCCATATCTGACTTGAGTGTTACAATACTAACCTTACAAATACACCTCTTTTCCATCCTCCTAGAAACTTACTCCACTTACACTTTATGTAAATAAAATTTTATCTAAAATTGTATAAATATGATAAGTAAACACATCTATCTAAAAACCTATAAAATAATTTCTTTTTTAAATTTTAAAAACATAATAATAATAAAAAAAATACAAGTAAAACAAGAAAATGTACAAAAATACTAAAAACAGATAATTCTTGTTCTCCGCAACATTCCGGGTTAGAAAATTCCAAAAAAAGAGGAAAAAAATCAAATAATTCGGAAGAAAAAAAGTGGGAAGAAAAAGAGAGAAGAGAGAGAATCAATGTTGGGTTGGAGGATTAGCGAAGATTGAGGAGAAAGGAATTCTATATGGGTGGTGGAGGTACACTCGTTGATGGCATTCGTCGATTCTTCAATCGTCGCAATTCTATTGACAATAATAACAATGATTCTATTCATTCAAATGATCTTAACAATGCCAACAACAGTCCCTCTTCTTTGAATCTTCTCAAAGTTCCTAAACGCTCCCATTTCAAATCTTCTTCCATGGATCGTATAAAAAAGGTTACATTTTTTTCTTCTCTGTGAAGATATACCCTTTTGGTTTTTAATGTAAAGTAATTAACTTTGTTGTTTGTAATGTTTATTGTTTTTGTAGCTTAGCTTGTTTGTATCATGGTTTGATGTTTGTAAGTTTCAATTTTTTTCCAACCCTTTTTGTGTCTGTTTGATTCTTGTTTTGTTTTATGACTCATTCTTTGATTTAATCAATTGGGTTGTATATTTGTTGGAGATTTTGGTTTTGATTTGTGCTATGTATGTTTGAATCATGCCATGGAACTATTTTTTGTGTGAGATGATTCTAAAGGATAGGAAATGCTAGAGTTTTGATGGTAGAAATTGTAATTGATTTCATGGTGGGGCCGTCTTAAGTTTTTGGAGGCCTTGTGTAGGTTAGTAAGGTTAGGCGCGATTTAACAAGACAAAATAATTATTGGTCCTATTTAACCATGATTTAAGATTGACATATTTTTGAGACCCTATTTAGTTACGGTTTAATCTTGAAAATTTTTGGGCCTTCTGCTGTAATCCGTCTTGCACGCCCTCAGAACAGCCCTTGTGGCATCTTTAGTATATGTGAATTCATGATTTTGTTTCCTTATGGTTCCTACATCTGTTACTGTAGATTTTGCAATAGGTCAAAAGAGAAAAACCAAATGAAGCTGTGGTCCTTAAATTATCTTTACATGTTATTACTTATTTGTCTCTTTGTACATAATTGTTTCTGGTTATCAAACAGGGTGCAGGAGAGGTAGAATTTTTTACCGAGTATGGAGAGGCAAGTCGTTACCAAGTCCAAGAAGTCGTTGGAAAGGGAAGTTACGGTGTTGTGGTTTCTGCTGTGGAAACTAGTACTGGGGAAAAAGTTGCAATTAAAAAAATCAATGATGTTTTTGAGCATGTATCGGATGCTACGCGGATACTAAGAGAAATTAAACTCCTTCGTTTGCTACGACATCCCGATATAGTAGAAATTAAACATATAATGCTTCCTCCTTCACGACGAGAGTTCAAGGATGTCTATGTTGTGTTTGAGTTGATGGAGTCGGACCTTCATCAAGTAATTAAGGCAAACGACGATCTTACTCCTGAGCACTATCAGTTTTTCTTGTACCAACTTCTTCGGGGACTAAAATATACGCATACAGGTATGCTTGTGACTTTTGACTAACTCCCTGGCTTGTGCTGATCGTGATCTTAAACTAAGATAATATTTCTCTTGCAGCAAATGTGTTTCACCGTGATTTGAAGCCGAAAAATATTCTAGCTAATGCTGATTGCAAACTAAAAATATGTGATTTTGGGCTTGCTCGAGTTTCATTTAACGATGCTCCATCAGCTATATTCTGGACTGTAAGCATTCTATTGTTCATATAACGGCAATATGTTGCAGTTATTTTGTTTGTTCACAAATTATCCTTTTAATCTTCTTGCTGATTCATTTTACTTACTTCTACTAAGGACTATGTTGCGACTCGGTGGTATCGTGCACCTGAACTATGTGGTTCTTTTTTCTCAAAAGTAAGCATTTCCCCCTTTATGCCTCGCACCCTTTTTAGTGTGTCATGTTATGTTTCATTTAAATTTAAACCTCGAACGAACATTAGCATATACAACACTTTCTACAGAGAAGTATCCTTGACTTTGAAGTTGATGCTTCTATATAAAATAACAAATTGAATGTATTGAAAGTATTGAATTATGTTCGTAATTTCAAATCCTTGTCTTTTGCAGTATACTCCGGCAATTGATATTTGGAGCATTGGATGCATATTTGCCGAAATGCTTAGCGGCAAGCCATTGTTTCCTGGGAAAAATGTGGTGCACCAATTGGATCTCATGACAGATTTGCTTGGTACTCCTCCTGCCGAATCCATTTCTAGGGTTAGTTTATCCAAATCTACCGTATAATTTGTAATACTCACTAATAGTCAAGCTTGTTCGACTTAATAGCTTATGTTTTGGCAATTTTCATTATGATTTATTTCAGTAAATGCCTTTCAGGCTTCTCTTACTTCGTCTCCCTTGTTGTAATGTAAACAATTTTAATCTTATTCTTAATTTTACAGATTCGAAATGAGAAGGCTAGAAGGTACCTTGGTAGCATGCGAAAAAAGCAACCAGTTCCATTCTCTAAAAAATTTCCAAATGTAGATCCGTTGGCTCTTAATTTGTTGGAGCGTTTACTTGCATTTGATCCTAAAGATCGTCCAACAGCTGAAGAGGTTGAAATTCACTTACCTCGTCGAATGCTCCAAACAAAACATATCTATAAAGTAGTTATGCCAGATACATTGCACCAAGTTCCTTATTTTTGGTAACACTTGTGATTGCAGGCACTATCTGATCCTTACTTTCACGGTTTATCAAATGTGGACCGGGAACCGTCCACTCAAGCGATATCAAAACTTGAGTTTGAATTTGAGAGAAGAAAATTGACCAAAGATGATGTTAGAGAGCTGATATATCGAGAGGTTTGACCATTCATTTCAATGACTTTGTTCAATTTATTGTCTTCTGATTTGTGAAAAGTTGATAATTTGTTGTACATTTGTATAACAGATTTTAGAGTATCATCCCCAGATGCTCCAAGAATATCTTAGTGGCGGAGAGCAAACAAGTTTCATGTATCCAAGGTAAGGATTCTTGTACAAGTTATAGTTTAGATTCCCGCGAAACAACGGGTGGTTAATTATCTTTGCTTGCATTTCTTATAAAAAATGCATGTTTTTGAAAATTGTTGCGTGCTTGGGATATGAGTCCATAATTATGTGTTATCTGTTACGCAGTGGGGTTGATCGGTTCAAGCGACAGTTTGCACATCTCGAGGACAATTACGGGAAAGGTGAACGAGGCACTCCGTTGCTGAGACAACATGCCTCGTTACCTAGGTAAGTTTTGGCAAAAGACACCTAACAAGGGCATGTTCTACACAAAACCTTATCTGGATTAGTTATAATCTTCTTTGGCAAGACGAGCCTTTGCTTAAGAGCACGCGTTAACTATTTTGAAATTCATATTTTCTTTCAGAGAGCGGGTGCCTGCTCCGAAAGATGAAAATAGTCATAACAATGATTGTGAAACCCCATCAAGAATAAATCTTCATAGCCCTTCAGGTTTAACAAATTCCGGTGACCCAGATGCACAAAACGGACCGTCACACAGCATGACAAGATGTCTGCTAAAGAGTGCTAGCATTAGCGGTTCAAAATGTATAGATGTCAAACAAAGTAAGAATCCCGAGGTATTCATCTCTCTCCTTTCTTGCTTAGAAAGAAAATTGTCAGAATATATAGAATAACTTATTACGATTTTCCTGATTATGTTGATGACATTACTTTCTTCTCCACAGGAGGAGACAATTCCAGAGGACAATGATGAAGCGGTGGACGAGTTGTCGGAGAAGGTTGCCACCCTCCTTACTTAGTTCAAGCTTTCATAGAGATTGTAAAGACTTACTAAGTCAATCCTATAGTTTTTTTTTAAGGAAGCAAAAAATAGATGTTGCATACAATTTTTCTTAGTAGAAGATAAATGTAGGACTACATTGTTATAAGCTACCATTTTGTATCATTCTACAAAAGTCATGTAAGTATTTGTATTTGTGTAATAGTAGTCATTACTACACACTACAATGTATATTACTAAATTTTCATTCTTAAATCTCAAGCAGGGATGTTCCTAGCTGCAAATATTACTAAACAGTTACCTTTTGCAGATAATTTTTGAACAGTGTAATTTTTTCTATAAATTGTTCACTAAGTATGAGGGAAGAGGAGTCTGTCAATGATTATTTTTCAAGAACATTGTCAATTGCAAACAAAATGTTTATCAATGGAGAAAAACTAGACGATGTTACGGTCATTGAGAAAATCCTTCGCTCAATGACACAAACTTCACTATCTGGTGTGTCCCATGTCAAGTGTGATCCATTAATGACCATTAATCCGCCTTAAATATGTTGTCTACGTAATAAGTCTCTTAATTTAATTTTGTCCTTTGTCTTGGTACGGGTAAGCCTGATTAGACAAACTTATTCTTTAAAGGTCAAATTGACCTTACATTGTGGTAACTCGTCCTTAATGTAAAATGGCAGATATCATGACAAAGTCTTTAAAGTTGGAAGCATTTGCAAACGGGTAAGCTTGGTTAGACAAACTTATGCTTTAAAGGTCAAATTGACCTTACATTGTGGTAGCTCGCCCTCAATGTAAAATGGCAATATCATGACAAAGTCTCTAAAGTTGGAAGCATTTGCAAAGTTATGTGAATTATTTGGAGTTTGTTTAAGTTCAATGTTAAATTAATTGATGAATAACATGTGCCCAAGACTGTGAACTCAAAAACTCTGATTAATAGGAAAGAGATTCATAGGGATATCCATGGGGGCGGATAGTATGATATCCGTGTCTGCCCCGTTGGACAAATATGATATCCGTATCTGTCCCATATCCATGCGGATATCAGTTAAGCGGGTAATCCACGGGTTTTAAGATATCCGCGAATATTTACCGATATCCATGAATAACTTTTTTTGTCTAAAATTATTTTTTAAAAATATATTTTTTCGCTCTCAATTTAACAACTAAATTTCGTCATATTATTTTCATTCTTTTTTCACTAAAACATAATAACATTCAAACATAATATCCATACATTTCATTTTTAACAAAATAAAATTCATCATACCATAATAATTGTTTAAATAAAACAAAAAGTAATAATGCAAATAGTTTTCATTAATCATTACAAAATTCCATATTATGCATTCCTTGCTTAACATTCATACATTGGTTTAAATTTTTTGAAAGATGTAATGACGTCTATAATAAATTAAAAATATTTAAATACTTTTTATAATTTATTAACGGGTATGGATATCCGCGGGTACGGATATCATTAAACCCGCACCCACATCCATTAAATAACGGATATTTAAATATCCATTTATTTTATCCATAGATATCCATTAAGCTATCCACATTGTATCCGTGACAGATTATATCCGCGGATACCCGCGGGCACGGGTTTTTTTACCATCCCTACATCCTTAGATATAAAATTATTTTCATAATATATAAATACTTAAATTTTAGTCTTTACGATATTAATATTGAAGAAATTAAAATTAAATATTCCATATATTGTAAGATCAATTACAATACAAAAGAATAAAAGTAAACATAAAATAAATAAGGACAAAAACTAAAAAGTATTCAAACCAAAAAGTTGTATAAGTTAATAAAATTTATAATATAAGTTAATTATTTGTAAATATATTTTTATAGTAATAATTATGATTGATTGATGAATGTAAAAATTAGAGTGATAATTGTTTTGGGTCACCCCTAAGACCCAAAAAGACAAGAAATTTCACAATATTAGTAAAATGCAAAACGACAAGACAAGAAATAAATGGATTATGTTTTCCAAACCACTCAGATGAACTTATTAGCAAGGTAAATCTATGTCATCCAAATCCATTTGATGATTAATTACATTTCACTCTCATATATGGGTTCAACTACTAACTAGCTATTCTATTTAAAGAGATGATCACCCAATTTCTTAAGTATTAAATCTCTTATCCATTCAAACTTTCCTTCTTACTCTTTCACTGACACGAGAGTTAGAGTGTGATGACACCCTCTCATTGCATATTTTCGATCAAAGAAACAGATCAAAACAAGTTAAAGAGGAGCAAAAATGAAGAATAAAGACCAAAGAAAGAGAAAAAAATGACTAAATATAGAGAAATAGGGACTTAATGAAAATCAGATGAAAAAGGGATCAAAAGAGTGTAACTACCAGAATAATCACGCGCAACATCACGCTCACGATGCAGATTATCACGTGCGTGATGGTACTTTTTCTATGCTTTTCCTGACGTGTTATGATCCATTCTAAAGGCTTTAAAAGGGGAAACTTGATACTTTTTCAAGGGTTCTGAAATTTTACACGTGTAAGAGGGGTTTACAACATCAAATGGCATATTTGGAGAGCACTCAAAGTCATTGGAGGCCAATTCTTCAATGGATTTCTTATGCAATAATCTGATTTGTATTTGACATTGTAATTTTCACCATGAGTAGCTAATTTCTTTAGGTTAGGTTCTGTTTGACGAACCTATTTTTATACCGTTGAGACATATGATTGATTTAATATTGCATGAATAATTTGAGTCATAATTATATTTAACTGCACCTTGTTCTTAATGATTTTTATGTGAGATACTCTTTTAATCGAATTTGAACACATACGGAATACTGACAATTTGTCTATGTGTTAGACCTAGGAAAATTGTTGTGCTTACACTGGTGGACTAGGGATAGAAAACTTCGAGTAGTGGATTAGGAATTAACGTTCTATTGCATTTCCTAATCTTGCTTACGTTGGTGGACTAGGGATAAAAAACTCTGTGTATAGATTAATGTGTTATACACCAAAGGATTGAGTATAGCAGTTTTTAGATTTATCCTGGGATTATAGTGATGATATCATTCATGTAATACATCTAACATCAAAAATAGAGATATAAAGGATTCTATACACAACCTGACCGCTTTAGTATTATTATCATAACACTTTATTTTTTCGCAATTAAAAATCAAAACTCCCTCCAATTTAGTATTTTCTATGCATTGCACAATATTGCCTTGTTAAATAGCAGCATTTGTGGATTCAATTTTATTATTATTCCGACATCATCGATACACCTGTCAGAAAGTGATCAAACTTTTGGCACCGTTGTCGGGGACTGTTGATAATTTCAACAAGGCAATACTTGTATAACACTTTAATATATATATATATATATATATATATATATATATATATATATATATATATATATATATATATATATATATATATATATATATATATATATATATATATATATATATATATATATATATATATATATATATATATATATATACTTTTTTAGAATTTAATTAAATTCTTTTTATTTTATTGCATATTATTGTCAAGAGATACTACTCTGAGTATTTGTTCTTGTTGGTGCATTGTAGGTATAAGGTATAGAAAAGCACCATGGCAGAGCCAACAACACAAACTATGGGGGACTACTGCAGGCCTACTGACGTAACACACGTTTCTTTGGGTTTCGTCCTAGCAACTCCCATAAATTTCAACATCAAATACTCTCTTCTTTCAGATCTTAGAGATGATAAATTTGGCAGGAACACAACCATTGACCCATGGAAACATTTAGCGAGGTTTTACGAGACATCATCGATGTGTAAACTAGAGGGTATTACAGAGGATCGAGTTAAATTGAAATTATTCAGCTTCTTCTTGGTGGGGAGAGCGAAGGACTGACTATTGTGCCTTCCAAATGAAGTAATAAGAACTTATAGGGAATTGGAAGACAATTTTTTGGAAATAATCTTCGCTGCAACATAATTCATAGGGAGGAAAGCTGAAATTACACACTTCGAGCAACAAGAGACCGAATTTCTTTACGATTCTTGGGAGAGATTTAAATTATTGTTACGCAGATGCCCTGATCATAATATGAGGAGTATGGAACAAATGCAAAGTTTTGTCAAGGTTTTACAAGCTCAAGCATGAATTCTTTTAGATGCATCCATTAAAGGTACGATCATAATATTGACCGAACTGCAGGTAAATGAGCTGATAGAGAAAATGAGTATAAATGAGTACAACTTTACAAATACTAGAGGCCTTAAATATACAAAAACAAAGAGTTGATCTCATAATGAATTGACATTAGGAGGATACGAAGAGCTTCTCACCAAGTTGGAAGTTCTCAATCAAAAGTTGAATATAGCAGGTACAACTCATGAATATTCAAATGAGGTAGTATTTATATTATGTGCTAACTATGGGGAAGAATATTTTGTAGGTAATTGTGTTAAAGAACAACTTATAAGAGAATTACAAGTTGTAACCATGAATTCCCATCAGAGATCACCACAAACAGATGCGGAAGTCAAGATCTCATTGTTAGAAAAAACATTGACTCAATTTATGTTGGTAACACAAAATAAAATTTTGAAGGTTAATAAATTAGAGAACTTGTTGAACGAAAAACACGAGGAGTCAATGAGAAGACTGGAAGGGAAAATATCTAGTCTATCTCAGCAAATCACATCACTAACACAGGAAAGAGGAAATTGTGACACAATAGAATTGAGAAACGCACAGTTACCTCAACTCCCCTTGGAAAAAAATGGTGGAACAAAGCACTGAGAAAGATGAGGAACCAAAATCCAAACCAACAGAAGATGAAGTTTTGAGCAAGACTCTTGTGAGGGGAGATACACTTGATAAGTTCATTGATAAAGACTCACCTTTTAGGAGAATAAAAAACCAAATCATCAATGTACCAACCCCGCCTTATCTGATTACATCAAACCACCTTACCATTTGAGTAAGAAA